GCTATCACCCAGCGACCTGGCCTTTATTTATCTGTGGACTGTATATGCCCTTGGACCTTCATCCACACGTGCAAGCCAAGGTCGTTTACCTTGTGAGCATCCATTCTTGGAGGGGATATTCACAACTCTTCAACATGCCTGCTATGTGGAGACTGAGCCAGACTAGTGACCTGTTACCATACCTGCAGAGATTTTAGCCTCATCTGAAAAAGCTATGTGTTGAGTGGGCGATCACTCAACACACAGGAGATTTCATGTGAAGCAGGAACAGGGTGCAGTGTGAGTGTGACACCCCGGGGTAGTCAGTGCTGAGGGCACGGTCAGGGAGGGGTCTCTGGTCAAGTTGCTTCTGGTCTGAATGCCTCACTTAGGCAGATGAAGGTTGAGGAGGGTCAGGCAGATAGCAGTGTGAGCATGAATGAGTGCAGTAAAGGCTCAGTATACTGGAGCAGAAGGGAAAGGGAACCACAGGGAAGCAGGGCTGTTTTACTGACCACTCCTTCTTACCCCCAGATTAGACCAGGGTGAGTCTTGAAAGGTAGAGACTTCCTGGTTAACCCTTCCCTCCCACCCCCTTACGGAAGGTTTTCTCAGTTTGTAATCTGGGTCAAGTGTGACTCCAGATCAAGAGTTAGCGCTGGCCAGGGGCAATCTTGAAAACTAGTGGTCTCAGAGGGAAGAAAGCACAAAAAGGGGAGGGGGAAGGGTAGGAGGGAGAGAGGACACAGTTGGGCTTCATGAGATGGCCTGTTGGGCTATGTCTTTGTTCTGACCCTGGCTATTGTTTCTTGGCCAAGAGAACATTCGTCTAAGAACTCCTCTGTCCTTCCTTATTTTGCACTCGGGACTGTGACTTGCGTGGAGTGTTTGCTGTATACCAGACACATAGTTCTCAGAGGCCTAACAGAGCCAGTGAATGGATGTACCCCAGTGTTAGCACATGGAACATGCTCCTGCATGCCAGCTGCACCAGAAGCGATCTCATGTTAACAGCAAATGCTGCCTAGCCATCTTACCATTGATGTGGGGAAAGCCGTTCAAGTAGCAGGAGTATGGATGCCGGGAAAGGAAGGACCCAGGAAGGGAAAGGTGAATGAGATTGAAGTTTGGAATTCTCAGAGCAGATGCAACTGATTTTTATGTTTGACAAATTTTATGTTAAGGTGCTAAGAGTTACTCATTTATATCTCAATCTATGTTAAGGAAAAATATTTGGCACGCCTTCTGACACTAATTAGGATTTTTGCAAAGATTTGTGTGTATGCACTCAGCTCTTGTGTCCTTACGCAACAGGGGTTCTCAGGCTGTGAGAAGTCCCCCAGCAGCAAAGCAGCCCTGTAAGAATGAGCTGCCTGCCTAGGGAGGATGCTGCAGCTTTGGTTTGCATCCCAAGACATCTATCTGAAGATTGCTAGACTGTTAATTCTTCTCTTAGTCATTGGACTTAAACATGGAGAAACTAAAACCAAATCTGAGACCCCAAACCACACCGCCTTGAGACTAGGTAGGGTGACAGCCAACACCTGACTGTTCTCCATTTGGAACATCTGTACCATTAGTTACGGGGCATGCATCTCATGTCTCCACCTTCAGGGACCGAGCTTGTGTGGTTCAATACCTAAGAGTGGGAAGTAGTCTTGGTAAACTTGCCTCACATGTGGGCAATGCTTTAGGAAGGGGAGGGTGGTTTATGTCATGTTCTGTTCACACCCAGATGGAACACAGAGGGAGTTACAACACTGGGACAGTTACGATATTTCAGAGAAAGGGTTAACAGCTAGGGTCGGGACCTGTATAGCCTGTGAACCTAATTTGTGACGAGAGAATCTTGGTTGTGGGGGAAGAGCTGAGTGATGGGAGTGTGTGGGTCTGTAGTACAGTGTCATGGATCCAAAGTATGACAGGAGCAGAAGGGCAGGCTGGTCACCAACCATGTGTGTCTGTGCCTGAGTTTGTCGTACAGGCACAGCATGGAGTGAGGAAAGCAGTGCTTTCCCTAGAAAGTAAACATTGAGCTTCGGGTCCAAAGTTACATCAACACAGTTCCGAAGCATCTTCCGTTGGTCAAACTCAAGCACAGCTCACTCACCCTTAGCACATGCAGATTTCTTTATTTGCAAGACGAATTATCATGAAGAAACACATGCAGTTGTGTCTGACTTGAATCTAAATGTGCATCTCATCTCGCCGATGTTCCAGCAGGCCTGTTTGTAACCTAGGCCTGAATGTGTCCTAAAGGACAAACCTCCTGTTCCCTATGCTCACAGTTATCACCCACCATTGATAATAAAGAGCAAGTGGACTGTACACGGCATGAGACTCACCGCAGGGACTAACATCCTTCTTACATTTCTGTTGTAGTCCACCTTCCTCTCCCAACTTCTGATCTGTAAACAGTGGCATGTGTCCCCATTTTATTCACTGAGCCATAAGGTTGTCTGGGTTCTGAGAGTTGTGCCATAATATCACAGAATAATTTGTTGACCCCATGATGAGATCTACTGTGTTTCATCCAGCCAGCTGCCCTCCTTTCTTCCTGGATTCAGACACTTACTAATCTTTTTCCTATTTGCCCTAGTTGACAACAACTTGAATAACTTCTTCTTCTTCTTCTTCTTCTTCTTCTTCTTCTTCTTCTTCTTCTTTTCTTCTTCTTCTTCTTCTCCTCCTCCTCCTCCTCCTCCTCCTCTTCTTCTTCTTCTTTTCTTCTTTTCTCCTCCTCCTCCTCCTCCTCTTCCTTCTTCTTCCATCATTTTCAATGTTGTACAGCTGCAATTATTTACTGTATGGCCCCAGAGCTTATCTCCCTGTCAAGACTCATCTAACATTTAGTTACGTACATAGTTTATCTGTGTCTTCACTGACTAGAAGGCAGCTTGGATGCTTCCACAATTAGCAGATTATGGAAGAAAGCTATTCACAAAATGTTCACCTGCAGATCTTTATATGGACATGGGTTTCCATGTGAGTGGGACTAATGTTGAGTGTAATGAGGGATAATTTTATTGTGTCATACAGAACAACTTATTTAAAAAATGTGATAATAAGCTAACAACCCATTTTCCAAAACAGCATAAGGCTTGGATACTGACCAGCGGAGAACAAGGATTGATGTTCTGCCTCCACACCAACAGTTAGTGCTCTGGGGGTTCTGGACTTTAGCCATCATAATAACTATGTGGTTGAGTCTTGTTTTCATGTTACCTTCAGTGCACTAATGACCAATTAGTACCTTTTCTGTGTTTATCTGTGATATTCACATCTTCTTTGTTCAGGGTGTTTGTTCAGCATTGGATCTATTTTTAAAGGCTGGCTATCTGTTTGCTTATGGCTGACTTTTAAGAGTATATTTTGGATCAGGTCCTTTATGTAATATACAATCTGCAAACAGGACATGGCTATAATGCGTTGAAATAACAAGGAGCCCAAGTTACAACGGTCTGTGCAGCCCAGCTTTCTAGGACCTGAGAGGTAAAATCTCTTCAGAAAAAAAGTGGGAGGGTCATTCCTTTTGTCTCACAGGATGCTCCTTCTTGAGGTCATAGAGGAGTATTCAAAGACCAGAGACTGAAAACGCATGGAGAGTTCCTGGTTCCCACTGTGGGCATCCTGGTAGGTGGGGACAGGAACACAGAAGTCATGGGCATCTGGAAACTTATCGTGAAGACCATGAAGTGTGAAAGGGAGTGTTAGGCGTCAACTTTTGTGGACGTAAGAAAAAGGAGTATTATCTTTATATCAGCTATCTCCCACAAGGTCCCCATGCAGCCACCTTCATTCCAGTGCCCGATTCTTTCTCTAGGGATGTGCCTTGCCATACCAGGTGGGCACTCTAGTCCAAGGAACCTTTTGTCTTTATGGCATCCTGCAGGAACTTTCAAATTGGGTTCTCTTTTAGATGTTTCCCTTTGCCCTGTGCAGTTAAGATGGGTCTCCTTCCCTTCTCTCCTGTGCTGTGTGTATGGGATGCGTTGCAGTCGACTGTTTAGTGACTAATTTCATTCGAAGATGCTTTCCACTGTAAGATCCCCATTCCACTATAAGATCCTCACAGCTGTGAGTGCTCAGCAGGATTAATTAACAAGTGTGGATTCTTGGCCTACTCTCTGCAGGGACAAAGTTAGGCTTAGTTTCCTTCGTTTTTAAGTCAAAGTCAACTCTGTCCTGGTAATGCCATCCAACCATCCCTGCTGACAGCCATTCATGAAATCTCAGTGAATGTGGGGCATCGAGAGAGCAATTTTCACACCCAACTAGTGTTTGGGATTATTTTAATCTAAAAAGATGCACCTTTATATTCCTGACATGAAAATATATCAAATGACTTTGTCTCATCTATAGCCAACAGTTTCCACTGGACAGAAACTTCATTGACTAGTGTTGGAGACATGACAAGAGCGTTCTGAACTGACATTGGTTAGACACTGGCTGCAGTGCCTGTGGAAAGGGAGGAATTTGAGTTGACAGCAGTAACAATGAGCAGCGACAAACACATTCATCGGTCACTTTGGCACCCACCCATGGTACATTGCTAGGTTTGATTGGTGATAACTGTTGACCTCTCTGTAAGTGCTTTATGCAGCCTAACATACAATAGAAAGGCTCATTCCGCTTCAAGGACCATGCCAGAACTGACAGTTGGGGAACTACTGCTTGATGTGACTTGCCATCCACCACTTCAAGCTGCCAAGTTCTGACTTTACGTTCCTTAGTTTTACTCTTTTATTGTGGTCCTAACATAAAATGCTGTCTTAGCATTTGAACACAAGCCGTTAAGATTTAATGACATCTCATAGAGTCATAGCCTATTGCCCATGTGCTTCCAAAGCTTTGCCCTGTTGTCAAGTAGTGACCAACTTCCCATTAGCCCACACTGCCCGTTCTAGCTCTCTGCAGCAGAGAGGAGTCACCAACTCCTAGCACAATGTGTCTGTGCACTATGTATTTCCTGTTGGAGGATGCCGCATGGGTGAATTTTATTCTCTGTGATTCCTTTGCAGGTTTGACGGATGAGAAAGTGAAGGCCTACCTCTCTCTCCACCCCCAGGTCTTAGATGAGTTTGTTTCTGAAAGTGTTAGCGCAGAGACTGTAGAAAAATGGTTGAAGAGAAAGAACAACAAAGTTGAAGGTAAGATGCCGCTCACTCTCTCACCAAGTGTGTGTGCACAGATTTCAGACCAAACTTTCCTAGCTTGTAGTGGGACATGTTTTAGAAGATGAAACATGTTTAATTCTAGCATTCAGGAGGCAGAGGCAGGCTGATCTTTGTAAGTATGAGGCCAGCCTGGTCTACAGATCCAGTTCCAGGACAGACAGGGCTATGCAGAGAAACCCTGTCTTGAAAAACTGAAAAAGAAAGGAAGAAAGACAGAAAGAAAGAAAACAAAACATGAAATAGAAGTGTGCATTTTATTTTTGTTACTTTTCTTAAGATAACATCATCAGAAAGAGGAACTATATAAGTATGAGAGAAACATCCTTAATTTTTTTTAAAGACCTGACAAATAATTGCTGAGAATTTATTTGGTGCTTATTGTATTAGTCAGCTTGCAGTCACTGCAGTGCGATATCTGAGGCCATGAGCTAAAAGATGAAATGACTGATTTGTTTCCAGTTCAAGTTCTAATAGCCCCATAGTTTTTGGCCTCTGGCAAGGACAGCGGATGGCAGTGGTAGGGACATGTGTCCCAGTGAAGAGCTCACATCACCAGATGTGGAACCTCCAGTAGTGCAATGGGATGGCCCTTTTTGATACAATGCAGATAGGTGAGAAAGACTTGAGCTGTTTTAAATCTCAGAGTCTTCGATGGGCTGCCTATGCTGTGGTAGATAACTCCCCCCAGTGGTCATACAGGTAACTCTGCGTAAGCTCAGTGGGTTGCACACCGAAGACAGGCATGCTGGGAATAGGACTTCAATGGAAGAAGGCTGAGAAGGACTAAAATTTGTTATGTGGATGCTTCAAATTGTGAAGGAATAAAAAATAGAAATAAAATATCTGGATTCATGGGCTTTCAGGCACATTGTATTTAAAATTTATGCAAACTACCATTTTTCGGGGAGGGATCCTTTTTTTTTTCTTATTCTCAGATTTGTATTCATTTTTTAAATTAATTAGTTACTTTTGCAGGTCGAATAATAGAAAACAGAGCTTTACGTACGCTGGGCAAGTACTCTACCACCAAGCTACATCCCCAGGCCTTAAAAGTGCATTTATTTTAAACACAGGTTGCTTAAGAAACACTTCTATTTATGAAAATAGAAGCATAGACTCAAATAGTGTGAGAGGTCGAATACATTTCCCCTTAAGCTGAGCTTTCTTTGAACATCGAAGCATAATTTTCCTTTGTTTCTAAGTGAATATATTTGACTACCTGACCAAATTTGCAAATTTGGCCTCTCATTTTTTTTTTTAATGCATGTTGTTCTCACAGGCACAGTTAATTCTACTTTTGTGTTAACACCAAAATAGTAGTTCCGGGGTGGTTTTCTTAGTGTGGTAAGCATTCTAACTTCTGTCTAATATACAGGAGTGAATATTTTAAAGATGGAGTAGAAATATAAGTAATTTCTGTGCTCCAAGTAAGTCTGTATAGTTTCTGAACGTATTGTAATGAAAACAAATATTTGCAAAAGAGAGCTTTCTCACTGAGATATGAAGCTATTTTAAAAGCAACTGTAGTGATTTGTCCAGTGTCTGTGAGTATGAGTGCATGTGAGCGTGTGTTTTTGAGAGGAAGAAAGGTAGAAACAAATTGGAGATCAGTGCTTTCCTCTCAGGACAGTCCTGTCATGGACACGTAAGAGCAAAGCTTAGCCACCATGTTCCATCGTGTAAATCAGAGACTGGAAAACAGTTTGAGGTGGTTGACACACTGAGAAGGGTGGCTGAGCTTTGAGGGACATCCTGCCTGGCTAATGATGCCTGCTTGTGGGCAGGGAAGACAGCTCATCCCTGCTCAAGTAGCTGCCACAAGGCACCAGGATTTGAGTCCAGATCTCCTGCATCCACATAAGAACCTGGCATTGTGGTGTCCACCAGCAACCCCAGTGGTAGGGTGTGTGTGACTGTAGGACAACTGGATCTCTAAAGTTCACTGACCAGCCTGCCTTACAAATCAGGGAATGTCACATTAGGGAGAGACCCTGCCTCAAAAAAATCTAAGGAGGCAGAATGACTGAGGAAATACCCAATGCCAAACTCTTGTCTCTACATGAATGCACGCATGCACACATGTGTGCATGCACGTGCGCGTGCGCGCGCACACACTCACACACACACACACACACACACACACACACACAAGACTTATATTTCAATTTACTATGCAATAAGGGATAATGTAATACAAAAACACGATTCTTATGGAACATGTCTTAGAGATTCTGTTGCTATGATAAAACACCGTGACCATAAACAACTTGGGAAGAAGAGAATTTATTTCGGCTTACAACCCTTAGGATACACTTTGGTGCTGAGCGAAGTCAGGCAGGAACTCAAGCAAGGCAGGGACCTGGAAGCTGCAGCTGATGCAGAGGCCATGGAGGGCTGCTGCTCCTGGTTTGCTCCCTGTAGCTTGTTCATTCATTGTTCTTGTAGCAGTCAGGATCACCAGGCCAGGAGTGACACTGCTCACCATCAGCCACTAATCAAGAATCAAGTACTACAGTTTTGCTGACAGCCAGATCTTCTGGAGGAATTTTCTCAATTGAGAGTCCCTCTCCCCAGATGACTCTAGCTTGTATCAAATTGACATAAAACTTGCCAGCACAGAACGTGAAATTAAGTTTAGTTCTTACAAATGAAAATTTCTATCAACTTTAGTGTTGTTACATAAGCTAACCCTAAACATTTTTAGGCGGGTCTGAGAGAAAGCTAAGTGGTTAATAGCCAGTACTGCTCGTGCAGAGCCAAATTTGGTTTCCAGCACCCACATGGGTCGCTCTAAACCTCCTGCTCCAGCTCCAGGGTGGGGATTCAAGATCACTGGCCTCTTAGGACACCTGCAGTCTTGTGCACATACCATAGAAAGGCATACACACACATGCAGTATCAGTTACTTTTCTGTTGCTGTAAAGAAATGCCACGAACAAAAGCAGTGTATAGAGGGAAGTGTTTCTCAGGCTTTTGTTTCCAGAGGCACAGAAGGCATGGCTTGGAGGCAGAAGCAGGAAGCGGGCTGGTCATTGGCTTGGGGGTTCTTGTCAGCTTGTGATCACTTTCCACACTGGTGCTGGGCAAATCTTTCCCAAACTCATTTGAAAAGCTTCCCAAAGGAATGAATTGCCCCAGAAATGTTGGTTATCATCTATACCAACTATGTTGTTCTCTCTCTCTCTCTCTCTCTCTCTCTCTCTCTCTCTCTCTCTCTCTCTCTCTGTGTGTGTGTGTGTGTTTGTGTGTGTGTGTGTGTGTGTGTGTGTGTGTATGTGTGTGTGTAATATTTGCATTGACTTTACACTTAGTTTGGAAATCGACAACTAGACTTTTGAATTAGAAGGGCCAGCTTGTACATATTTTCAGTCCCTCAAGGCAACTTGTAGGAAATGGTGTGTTGAGCTCTGCTGAGGTCTCCAGGGCGTGGTTCAAAAGGTCACCAGCCAAACCAGTAGGAGAAAATTGAGATTCATGGTTTTTTTTTTGGAGGTCTGACAGCCTAGTCTGTCTCTACAGTCGGTTTGTAGTCAGGGTAATCTGACAGGAGAAAGGAGGGAAAGGGGCTCCAGAATGGGGGTGACCCCTTGACCTCTCAGATTAGAGCTTGAGCAGTGTTCTGTTTAAAGTACAATTATATTGCTTTCTCACCATTTCCACTTCAAATGTATAACATTTATATGCAGCTAATAGGCAGTGTGATTATGTCTGTATGTGTGTATTCAAATATGTCTGTAATGTATGTATGCATTTATGTGTATATGCATGTGTGTGTATGTCTGCTGAGTGTACATATATATGTGTGTGTGTGTTGTGTTGCACATGTGTTCACTAGAAGTCAGTAAACCTCTAGTATTGCTCCTCAGGAGTCATCCACCTTGGGTTCTGAGACAGGGTCTCATCCTGTCTTCTCTCCCCAGCACCAGGATTACAGTTGTGAGCAGCCAAGAAGCTTTCTACATGGGTGCTAGGGTCACACACAGGCTCCCACACTTGAGGAGGTGATACTTTACTCACTGAGCTCACTGTTGTCTCTCCAGCACTGAAAATTGTTTCCTGAAGTTGACCTTGAACCTAAGTTCCCAATGATCCATTTTAAAGTGATGTTTAGAGCCAGGGTTTGCCTTTATTTCCTTTATAAGTGATTTTACTCATGTGGGAAGAATCAGGAGTTCCTCAAAATAGAGGGTGACCTCCAGGAGTTCACACCACTGTCACCAAACATCTTCTTATGCATCTGGAAAGAAACGAAATCTTGGAAAGAATTACATTTCATATTTAATCCTCCTAAACATTATATCTTCATGTTCACCCCTATGTGAACCACATATGACAGTCCCACTGGTGCCCTTTGGGACTCAGAGATGACTATAGCAGTTAGCACCTGCACAACCGTGTCCCACACAGCACAGGCATGAGGCTATGAGGCGGCCCAGTCCTCTGCATTCCTTGCAAGAGTCTCCAAAGATAGGACCTGAACCCACACTGTTCTCTTGTGGGCAAGAACCAAAACTTACCTTGACTGTCAACAGTGTCTGATCTTTGGCTACCAGTTTGGGCAGTGTTAGAAAGGCTGGTGAACTGGCACACAGCATGACCACATTTGGTGTACTGGATACTTTGATGATATTTAAGGTATTAATAAAACCTGAAATTCCAATGTAATATTAGTCTCTGAGGCAAATTTGCTTAGTACCAAAGAAGGTGTTGCGTTGGCTTAAATAATTTATAAGTTGTTGGGAGAGTGCTGTCCTTTATGGCCTGTGGTTTTGTGTGTGGCATGTTCTAGAACAGACACTGCCACTACTTTTGACATTTAATAATTAATAATGAAAGTGTTATTGCTGTCAGTAATCTTAAATTTTAAAATTTTACTTTTTTATACAAAAGTGTAGTTATCACATTTTTTCTCTTTTATTTAATTCTGGAGGTGGGATTTATTACTATCCAAATGAAATTCTTATACATTCCAC